ACCATATATTCCGGAAATTAACACAAAAATAAAAAATATATTCAAACCACATAATATCAACATAGCAGAAAAAACTAAAAACACCTTAGCAAATTTGAGTTTCACAAAATTTAAACCTAGGATTGACAAGTTAGACACGCCGGTATTTTTCTATCGTGGTTCTTTGACATTTTATTTGCTGAAATAAATCCCCGTTTTGTACATTTCCATTCAACCAATAAGTTCATACAAAATATTTCATCCAGTGGCTGCAATATTTGCAAGTGAAAGGTCATTTACAGTTAAATAAATAGAAATTTTGCTTTAAGCCTTTATTCTTGCCAGTGCCGTAGCAAGCTTAACTGGCGACCAAGGCACGATACCTTTTAAACTCCGCCCTATTTTCATTCGCATTAATTCGACCCAGAAATTTTTCGTTTTTCGGACCATTTGGCCCCTTTTTGTGAATAGCACCAGGGGCACGATGCCCCCTTTGCCTGCCCCTCGCTACGCCACTGATTCTTGCTTTATACAACTTGCTTTCATAGGAGATAGTTGGGTGGCCTACCTTAGCAAATGCACATACTTCTGACAGTTAATGTCTGTCAGCTTCAAGCTTGACATTTAATTCAAAAATCTCAATTTTTACAAACGAGTTGATAAGTAACGGGCAAAACCGATGTTATGGCCATGTACGGAGATCCACCGCTTTCCGAGTTCATTCCCGCCTATTATTGCAATAATTTCGCGCAGTCCAGGTCAAATTGTGCCACTATATGGAAAAGTAAGTCAGAAGTTCATAGTTCCTTATATTTCTTTATTGTAGTTTTTCATATTTCCTTCACAAGTTTGTTTCCAGTATATTTGCAAGCGCCTGTACTGTAACAGAGCAATCTTAAACTATTTGCTGATATCAACATTTAATTTAAAAGTCCCCGCTTCAAGTGTTTTCTATTTTGCTTGAAGTGTTTCAACTATTCTCGCAATGTAATTAACTCAATGAAAATCACCTTAAGTGGACAACGAGCTTACTTGTAGGAATTTCAAGCTGCGCAATTAACTACCTATATAGAGGACATAATCCTACGATAATAATTAAGCGTCCATACATTTTATGTATAAATTAAAATGGTTAATAAAAGCAAACTTTTTGGAAACCTAACTGTTGCCTCAAACATCGAGAAAAGTTTCGAGCAAAAAAGTGACCGCATTATTAACGTAGGCGGTTTCATGTAGGAGACGCCGCTGATTAAAATCTGTTGTTATTATCACAGAAGATATTTTGCATTCCCACTTAATCAAGAATAGCGAGTTTGATAATTTTCGCGCAAACCGTTTTGGGAATTATTGCAAAAAACCATGTTTACAGCCCACCAAAAATAATTTGATTCTTGACACCCTTAAAGCAGCCAACTTCCCCAGACACACCAGTGGGTGCGTCTTAGTGTCTGGGAGAACACCATTAAAACTAGGCTGAAAGCGGCCATCAACCTAAATTATCATTGAAAAGCACTTTAATTTCCAGGCATTTTTACCCATCTTTTTTCTATGGCCATTGCAACTGGCATTTGCTTCGGAGGCTACTACTGTAAGTATCTAAAAGACATCCTACAGGCAAAAATACTCGGAGCTCAATCCCAGATTACCAGAATTACTACCTGCCGATCCTCAACGACTCATTCCCGATAATTGAGGAGCCAATCGCAAACAACCCTGCAATTGCAAAGTTTCAATTTCCAAACCCGCATCCCGAAGATGCATGTGGAGTTGAAGTAATTGAAAGTCTCAAAGAGCAAATTCGGCGCTTGAATGAAAATGTTTCCGCCATCAACAAGTGGAGGTTTGCGCTTAGGCGTTTAATGTCAAAGAAATGTTTGAGTTAATCGACGATTCCTTCAGGGCGACGGTGAATTCGCACTTGACAAAATTGGAATGGGAACAGGCGGCGACGATCAATAGCCGCATTGAGGAAAGCTTCGACGTGTTTGAGGCAGACGGAACCGGGCTGATGGGTTAGCGGCAATTTCGTTAAAACTGTCCTTTACTAATTGCAGTATTTTCAAGATTACGCCGCATCGTATGCGGGGGGAATAATAGTGGGGATCTCCAAAGACACACTTCCTCATCCAACCCACCGCCCGTTATCGCTGTTCAAACTCCTCAACGTCGACGTTTTGAGTAGCCCGGAAGAGCTGATCCGTTCCTGTGTTTTGCCTGGCAGTTGCTTCGCTTTTAGGTTTCCATCATTTCTTTACTAGTACCATAGTTTTGGAAGTATATATATTAATTTATCAGGGGTTCCAGTGGATCAGTTCGCATCAAACTGGGCAAGCCGATTAAAATTGGAGGAGTGACTTTAAGTCATGCTTCTAAGCGTCTCCTGCTGGATGAGGGCATGAGCAGTGCCCCCCAAGAATTTGCCGTTTACGTAAAAATATCTTTTCATGTTAAAAAAATCAGCCAAAACCGAAGTTTTTCAGGGTTTCGTGGATTCGTCTGACAAAATTGGAGTTTTTCTCGGCAAATTCACGTACAACATCCACGGGAAGCAGCATCAGACGTTCAAAGTGCAAAGAAACCCGTCTCACAATGAAGTGTTTGAAGAAGTGGAGTTGGCGATTTTAAGCAACTACGGACGAGATGCGTTCACTTGCGTTTATCGGTTTAGGGTGCACAGGAGCGACAGTGAAACTGCGTTGAATCAAAGTCGAAATGCTACCGCGCGGAAAGTGGTAAATAAAAAGTGCTGTTAGCTTCTATTGCAGAAACAGCATTCAGGTAACTTCTACATAAGTAGTAAAGTAAATTTTTTAAAGCATAGGTCGCATAAAAACAGTAGAAGCTTGGAAAATACATGTTTCAATAAAAGTATAAATTTATTTAAAATTAATCATATCAGTTGTAGGTACACTTAGCGGCCGTTAGTTTGATGTAGCAGCCTTCAAATGATCATATTTCAATATTCACACGAAAATTCTATTTGCCATAGAAGATAATCAATCACAGGATCGAACTGGTTTGGCTCTCCCGAAAAACCCAATCTCAGACAAACAATTCTTATAAACTAATCAGCAGGGGCGGATCCAGCTTTAAAGTCAGGGGGGGGGGTTATGTAGAAAAAATACAGTCTTCTGTTGTCTATGAAATTAGAAAAATGATCGTCGTTTTGTGCAA